AATAATAATCAAAGCAAGCAAATTATAATTTTTTTCCTTTCTGAGAGCAACTCTGGAGTATTTCTGCCCAGGATATTTTTAGGTAGAGAGCTTGATTCCCACCCCAGCTCCCCTAGCATCCCTCTGCCCCAGCCAGCGGCTGCTCCGCAGCTTATTAGCGCAGCTCTGAGCGCATCTGTTTTCTGGCTGCTCTGGGAGTTGACAGCAAAGGAGATTTTAAAGCAGTGCAGAAAGAAGCATTCATCAGTGTCGGGAAACACATTGGGATCTGACCATGCTGCTGGGTCCAGGGAGTTTGGTCCTCCTTGATGTAAGGGATGCTGACAAGGGCCAGAGTAACACCCCGTGCCTCCAGTGCCGCGCGCCCCGTTGGCCGAGTGCATCGCTGCCTTCGCTGGGTAAGTTCATAAAATAACCCACAATATAAAAATGTCAAAGTCATGTCAATGCTCATTTAAACCTGCTTTGCTTCACTACTAAAATACAAACCCTGCTACTGAGCAGGGCACGGTGCTCCCGCAGCTGCGGGATCCCAGTGCTGTGCCTCAGGCAGCCGTAAAGTTCCTTCCTACTGCTAAAATAATTAGGGACAGCTCTGATATATTTGCCACTAGCACTCACCTTTGGAACACTGGTGCTCTGAGGGGAGCAGGGGAGAGTGCAGGTGATATAGGTGAACCCAATTAGAGGTTTGCTGCCAGCACATCCTGACAGCTCAGTTTCAATCCTGCTGGTACACAGGTGAGCACAACAGCGATGATTCTCCTACCAAACCATGGTCACACACTGCTGAGGGTGGAGGTGGAATCACCATCCCTGGAGGTGCTCAAGAAATGACTGGATGTGGCACTTAGTGCTCTGGTCTAGTTGACAAGGTGGTGATCATTGCCCTTGATGATCTTGGAAGCCTTTTCCAACCTCAATGATTCTGTGAAGTTATGTTCCATCACACCCATCGCTTGCTGCTGATCTGCAGCACTTGGTGGTACACCTGTGTTCTGTCTCCTGGCTGGAATGAAAATAGGATAATACCTCTTCCCTGTGAGGGTGATGAGGCACTGGCACAGGTTACCCAGAGAAGCTGTGGTTGCCCCATCCCTGGAAGTGTTCCAGGCCAGGTTGGATGAGGCTTAGATGACCTGGTCATTGGAAGGTGTTCCTGCCCATGGCAGAGGGTGGAATTTGATGGTACTTAAGGTCCCTTCCAATCCAAGCCATTCAAGGGTTCTTATTCTATGATCTCCATGCTTCCCCCTCCTCTGAGGATGAAGGAAGGTAAATGGGAAGAGGGAACAAGAGGGAACAACACCACAGCCCTGGATGGGGTTTGGGGTGCACAAACCTGCATCTCACCCCCAAAAACTCTGCCCTGCAGCCACTAGCTTCATTATAGCCAAGGCCATTCCTACACCTCCTCTCCCCGCTCTTTCCTGAGGCTGGGAAAAGCCAAATGGGGGCTGAAGTGTTACTCTCACAGGGTTTCCTTCTCAGGAGCACAAAGTTTCCTGTTAATAATCAGAATGTTACTGAGCAGCCACATCCCTGTGAGTCCAGGTAGCCCACAGGTTCTTCCCTGGGACAGTTAGAGATTTCCAAGCTGTGCTGCTTGATTGCATTCTTGGATTCAAAAAAACACCCATCTCAAAAAACATACCCAGCTCCCCAAAAAGCTTCAGATGATGATTTTATGCCAGTCCCTCTTCTGCTTGAAGCCTCCCTCCAACTGCCACACTGGGGCTTTGGGGTTTTCCTTCACCAAGCAACTGCAGAGCATCTACCAAGCTGGACCCACCTCCACATACACCCAAACCATGTGTGTAAGGGGGTGTCCCATGCTGAAGGAGCTAACTGCTACCCCCATCTGGCAAAATTCCCATTTTCTAGACAGGGATGCAGAGCACAGTTGATTTATCCAAGCTTCGGGGCAGACCCAGATGTCAGGAGATGCCAGGTCTCCGCTCAGCCACAAGCGCCTTCTCCCCAACCGCAAGGACTGTCCTATAACCCCCCTGGAATGAAAATTTCCTCGTTCTTTTGGAATGGACTTGCCTGCCCAAATTAAATAATATCTATCATCTGATTTGGGATGATTTTTCCCATATGTCCTCTGCCCATTAAAATGTTTGCTATCAAAGGCATCGGCATGTAAAACTAGAACCGTGTGAGCATTGAAGTGACCACATACAACTGAAGATGCATTTTTGTGGGATAAAGTTCTCCTTTCCATCTGACCATAGTTCTTCTCAGAGCCTAAATCAATCTGAAGAGTCTCTCCAAGCCCTCTGACCTCTAAATTCAGCCCCCCCTTGTCCCAGCCATGGTCACTCTGCTTCCCTCAGCTCACTCCACTGTGAGTATTGGGATGCACAGTCCACATCAGGATGACAAGACTGATGGAGGAGGAACTTGCAGAGCTCTGTAGCCTGTGGAATTTGCAAGCTCAATGGAGATGAGATCTTCCACAAGCTGAAACACTCACCCAGGGATGAGCTACAAACCTCTGGCACCAACACTCGCCTGGGACTCAAGACTTGGATGTTTCCATTCTGATAATGAGGAACCAAAGAGACTTCACAGAGCTGCAGTAGGAAAAACTGCA